CAGTTGCGGATCATCTTCGATTACCCCAAAACCCCAAAACCCCAAAACCCCGCCTGCTTATACCAGTTGCATTGATAAAGTTTAAAAGGATGAAAATTAATCTTAGAATAGAAAAATATCTTAATCATTCACCATTATCATCATTCTTCATAAGGCTTTCTCAGCTTCGATCATAGCTTTGACTCCATTGTACATATCTTGCACTAGATCAACTGTACTTCTGCCAAGTCTTCTTCTATTTGAAATGTCATAAATATGATCGTCAGTCTCAGTATGTTCACCGTGAGCGCCTCTGATTTATACATAGAATTAGTCAGCAATTTCTTGGAACTTCTCCTTATTTACTCCGAGCTTAGGCAACTTGATGTGAACTGAGGCTCTTAGAGCAGTTCCTAGATTGGTAGGGCATGATGTGATGTAGCCGAACTTTTCATCGAAGGCGAATTTGATTACTTTCTCAATATGAGCGCAAGCTCTGCAGAGTCTATCGAATACTTCCTTTATATCTGCTCCATTTTGCATAGAAATGATTCTTAGCTGATCTTCTTCATTTACCCAAACAAGGAAGGACTTGTCGTTGTTGTGGAAAATACCTCTTCCATTTGGCCAGTCTCTATTAAGACCTACTGCTTCCAAGAACCTGTCACCTTCCTTGAACAAGAAGTGGTCGTCAATCAGTTTCTTTCTGTCTGCCTCAGATAGATTATTGAGAGGATAATAGGTACCAGCAAGGTCACCTTCAAATGTTGCAAGTGACTCTGATACTCTCTTTTCAATCATTTTTCTCTGTTCATTGGTAATACCTGGTCCAAGAGGATAGTCAGCTAAGTTTCTTCCGACTCTAATTCTGGTACTGACAATCATAGAAGCGTCCTCTTCTGGGAAGGGTGGGGCATTGAGTGCAGAACTATCCATCTTGATTTCTTTGACGTGCTATTTAACTCCATGATAAGATTCAACAATTTTATCCATGAATTCAGAGAATGCATAGTAAGAATCATGAGAACCAGCGTAGACTCCAACTCCTGAGTCAGTGTTCTAGCATCCAGAAAAGATTGCTTGCAAGAATGAGAATCCGTGCTTGTCAACCTTATCTCTGTATTTCTCAAAAATCTCTGGAGTAAGATTCTTCATGAGCAAGCTCTTAGTGCCTGCTGGGAATCTGGGGTAAGCAATGATTTCCTTTGCCTTCTTTAGATGAGTTCCGACTTCCATTTCCTTTGGACCTACAGCTCTTGACAGCTCCTTCTCTTTGTCGATCATGGCTTTAACACCATCATACATGTCTTGTACGAGCTATGCTTCACTTCTACCTAATCTTCTCTTATTTGAGATATCATAGATGTGATCATCAGTCTCAGTGTGCTCACCATGAGCTCCTCTAATCTAGACGTAATATTTGTCTGCAATAGCTTGAAAAGCATCCTTTTATTTTCCAAGAACTGGGAGATGAATATGAACTGAGGCTCTGAGAGCAGTTCCAAGGTTGGTTGGGCATGATGTGATATAACCAAGATGCTCGTTGTGAGAGAATTTGGCTACTTTCTCGATGTGAGCGCATGCTCTACAAAGTCTATCAAATACAGTCTTAAGATCAGCTCCATTTTGCATGGAGATAATTCTAAGTTGATCTTCTTCATTAACCCAAACAAGGAAGGTCTTTTCGTTATTATGGAAAATACCTCTGCCGTTAGGCCAGTCTCTGTTAAGCCCAACAGCTTCGAGGAATCTATCTCCTTCCTTGAATAAGAAATGATCCTCAATAAGCTTCTTTCTATCAGCTTCAGACAGGTTATTGAGTGGGTAATACTTTCCTGCAAGATCTCCTTCGAAGGTTTCGAGAGCTTTGACAACATTAGTCTCAATTTATTTTCTCTGCTCATTGGTAATGCCTGGACCAAGTGGGAATCCCTACAAGTTTCTTCCTACTCTGATTCTTGTGCTTTTAATCATTTTAGCATCAGCCTTGGGGAAGGGTGGAGCAATTAGCTTTGTAGTGGTCATATCAGAGACATGCTTATCAACCTTCTTGTGTTTGTGATAATCTTCGACAATTAAATCGAAGAAATCTGCGAACTTCACATAAGAATCCTCACTGCCTGCGTAAACACCGATGCCTGAGTCAACATTCTAGCAACCTGAGAAGATTGCTTGCTTGAAGCTAAATCCATAAGAGTCCTTTTCATTGTGGTATTTATTCCAAATATCTCTGCTTAGATGTCTAGATAGGGAAGATTTAGTACCAGCTGGGAAAGTTGGGAAACCAGTTAAATCTTCAGGAGTCTTTAATTTATTGGAGCATAAAACATCAGCTGGAGCATCATGTTTGGGAGCTTCCTTCTTTTCTTCTTTAGCAGGTGGTTTTTGTTCTTATGGTGCAGGTTTTGGGTCCTTAATAACTGGCTTTTCCTCAGCTGGTGCCTTTGTCTCCTAAATGACTAATGAGGCCTTTGGTGATTAGTTTTGGGGTTTGATTGAAGAGGACATCGTCATGTCAGGTGATTTAGATGGTGATTCAAATCTCTTTGTCTTTTTCATATCAACTCTTTTAGCTTCTTAGCCATTTGTTTGAAATTTCTAGATGTCCTGACCACTCTGAAAATCCTCAAAGAGCTTCTAGCATCTGCCAGCTACTGCGTCAAAGTGAGGCCACATTCCTGAGAGCATTTTCGAAAAAATTAGCTATATATCAATTATAAACAGTTACGACATTGAATTCAATTGTGCTACTTACGACTCCTTTAAATGAGACTTCGAAGGCTCCAATTCTTGGGAGTATCTTGAAGAATGGATTGGCGGGGTCACTGTTGGGAACCAATTGACAATAGATCTCATAATCGACCCAGTTCTTTGGAATTTCGTTGATTTGGACTTGGGCGTTAGGGATGAATTCTTGGATTTTAGCGCTCACTAATGAATGAAGTTGAGGAGATAAGTGAAAGGTTACTTTCGAGAGCATAGTTTTTGTACTTGTTCTCGTCGTGGCGGGTGTTCCAATTGTGTTGGCGGCAGTTCTCGCAAGTTTCGATGATGAAGATATTTTCGTTTTTATCCATCTTTTAATCTAGATCTTTCAAATCAATTATTTATAAACAACGACGCTTTATTTTATTTATATATCGTGTTCATTTATCGCTACTTCTTTGATTCAAGGGGTTTTGGGGTTTTGGGGTTTTGGGG